ATGAAAATATATGATTTAAAGTCTTATGAGATTTCTAAATATAAATATTTCATCATAGAATATTGTATTAATTTGTATTATTAATATGTGTCATATCAATTATTCATATAATTATAATATAATAATGAATTTAATATAATATATATTATATTACTATAATATACTGTTATATTAATATAATGTAATATAATTCATTAATGTAAATATAACATTATGATACTATTAATAATTTTGTGGTTATTTCAATTTTCTTTTCCTTTGGTTCCCATCTAGAGAGCACTCTATCAGAGTATGAATGCTGGGGGCCACATGATGGCGATGGGGAAGACAGGCTTACTGGGACACAGTCTGGGCAACTACGGGGCCTCAGGTCTTTATTCAGAGCACTTTCTGCAAAATTATAAATACTGCCATGCAACAGTATGCATGTTACACATTTTGAGTATTATTCTAATTAACCTTAAAAGGAAGCACTAACAGTCCGTTTCTATTTTAGAATACAGCCACCCCAGTTACACTGTGGGCTTTCAGCGCAATTCTATGAATACCTGGCAACATTTGTCTCATCAGGACACCCACCAGTCCATGATCAGCCCTGGGTCAGACATTTTTTAATGACCATACATATTAATCATACAATAAATCAGCATAAAAAATATTATATTATATTTACTTTGAATTTTTGCATTTAGATTTATAAAATTATTTAATAATTATTTTTATTTATAATTATATGATTATTTATAACTATTTATGACACTCAAATGTCTGTACATCACGTTCATGTCACTGTCCACAGGATGGCATCAGGAGAAAACTGCTCGTACTCGTCCCAGTGCTCCTCCCCTTCCTCGCCACCACACCCCTCCCTCAACCTGAGCATCAAATCAGAGCGCACCTCTCCTGAGCACATGCTCTCAGCCACGCCCCCCAGCCATCACGTGCTGCAGCACTCACCAATGGAAGAGCCCAAAGTGACCAGCTGCCCTCCGTCAGAGGAATACACAGCTATGGAGAGGGACGAGATACAGAAGAGCAGTTACTCCAGCCAGCATGGCCCACACAGAGAACCCCGAGAGGGGAAAATCCACCAGCCTTTGAAGCAACCTGACGTCAGTAATGGATGGATAAGATAATTGCCACAACCCTTTCTTTTAATGTCTTAAACGAATAGTTCATCCAAAAATTAAAATTTGCTAAAAATGTACTCACCCTCAGACAATGCCAGATCTAGATGAGTTTGTTTCTACATCGGAGCAGATTTGGAGAAATGGATCCTCTGCAGTGAATGGGTGCCGTCAGAATGCAGCTGATAAAAACATCACAATAATCCACAAGTAATCCACACCATTCCAGTCCATCAATTAACATCTTGTGAAGTGAAAAGCTGCTTGTTTGTTTAAAAAAAAAAAACGGTGCTTCTGGCCAAAATTTGAAGCCATAATCCATAATCCATAATAACGCTTCCTCCAGTGAAAAAGTCCATCCCCTGTTGTCCTCTCTCGTCAAAATCCACCAACATATTTGTTTACAACTGCTTTGGACTGTTTTCACTTGTAAACTGTGCTTGATCTGTGCACATTTCTCTCCTGATTCAGACGAGACAATGGTGGAGAATGCAATATTATGGTTCTCGTATTTTAGCTAGAAGCAGTTTGGTTTGAAATTAAAAACTTCTTGATGTTTATTTATTTGTTATTAGAAATATGCAGCTTTTCACTTCACAAGATATTAATTGATAGACTGGAGACGTGTGGATTGCTTGTGGATTATTGTGATGTTTTTATCAGCTGTTTGGACTCTCATTCTGACAGCACCCATTCACTGCAGAGCATCCATTGGTGAGCAAGTGATGTAATGCTAAATTTCCACAAATCTGTTCTGATGAACAGAGGCCGAAGGGTCAGTAAATTTTCAGCTCATTTTCATTTTCCTTTAAATTGTATTCCTTGAAATTGTTTGGGTTTTTTTTTAACTGGGAGATGGAATCTCTCTCTCTTTTTTTTCAAAAAGAAACGTGCATCATATTCCTCATTAATGTTAAATTCCTCAAGCTTAAAAATACATAAACATAAATCAGATGTTTTTATTAATCAGTTTTAATCAGAACCAGTACAGTTTTTATTAATACTATCACTTCACCAGAGCAGCATTCAAATTAAAGCTGACCCTGTTTAGAAATGTGATTCCTGTTTTTCCTCACATAGTGTAAATTACTGTAGAGTCATAAATGATTTTCATGTAAATGATCTTCACTCAGGACAGACTGCTTTTCTACTTTCAAACCAAAGGTTTTTTTATGAGGAAAAAAAAGAGAAAACAATGTTGTCTTGGTAATAAGTAAAATTAATTTGCATTATTTCTGCCATATATTACCTATATATTATGTAATATTTTAGTTTCTTTGCTTATGTTTCTCATTTGCGTTATCAGTTTGTGTGAATGATGCATAACACCATGTACCTTCCTGAAGTATTGTCAGTTGAAGTTTGTTATAATGGCCACAAGAGGGCGGCACATAAACATATCAGGCATCTGAATGCTTCTTATCGACATGACACATTGTAGCCTAACCTTTATTTTATGATGAATAAATAATTGCATTTGTAAACTTTGAGTAGTATGCCATACATTTGTTAAAGCATACTGGTGTATAAGGGCATCATTTGCCAACACTTTCCATTTCTTAAATCAGTGGTTCTCAACCATGCACTGGGGCCCTAATGGCTTCAGCGAGCTTTCAGTTATTTACTTAAATAAGGACAAAAGTTAGGACAAATAGATAGTTTTGACAGAATAATTACAGTTCATTACAATACTAAAACACAAAATTTCTGTTAGTGTATTAGCACGACGTGAGAGCTACACCAATCAGCATTTATTTCGTTTAAAATCAACGAGGTGATGATTTGGGGAGTATAATAACAACCATTTTAATGAAGTCTTAACTCAAAGTACCATGTATTAGCATGTTTCCCAACAAATAATACAAGTCTTTGGTTTGGTCATTTTCTATGGTTTGTAGGTACTTTGAAGTAGTACCATGCCGTCGAATATTAGCAACTGTCTATCGAAGTGTCTGTCGAGGTAAGGTTATAGCCTACTTGTATTAAACTTGACATAAATGAAAACGAGGTTGTGAGGTACAGTCAGTCAACGTTTTGTGCTTTGTCATAAAACACTTTTAAATTTCACTACGTTTTCCAGAGTTTTACCCAATGAAAACCAGTTGGAAATACGCATTTTTAACGTTTCTTTGACTTAACGGAGTCAAGGTAAAGCTGTTGAACGACTAGTTTACATGGCGTAAAGTGCATTTGAAAACAGTTTTTGCCAAATGTGTCTATATCAAATGTGTTTGTATTTTTGATGTTTAATTGGCGTAACGATGTCAAAGTAACTTATTAAATGGCCTTCTAATGGACGTTAATCCTCGTTTTCAAATTAAACATGGCGGGAAGTGTACCGTCTAAAAACTATAGTGTTAGGGCCATGCACGTTTTTTAGCTTAATGTTGAAAGACATGCAAGTCTAAATCCTTAATAGTTTGACATATGAATAAGAATAAATGAACATCATCTCCACAATGCTGAAGCTTTTTAAAATAGACAGAATGAGTGTGTTACTTATCAGATATTCAAGCAGATCTTGTGTCTGTCAGTTCACTCCTGTTATGTACAATACTGATTATAATACAGACACTTCCGCTGTCTACACACAATTATATTCAAAACCCATTTCTCAGACACCCATCCACACCATCTTGAACCCCTTGAGCTATTATAAAACAGAAAATTGGCTGGAATTACCCATCTCTCCAGCTTGTCAGCACACTCTACCATACCATGGTGGAAAAGAGGGCTACAGAGGTCAAGTCTGGGCAGGTCTCG